GACACTGACCTCTACGAAGGTGCTTGTTTTCCGGCCCTCACTGACTAACTCAAACCTCGTCCTTTCCGCCGAGGGTCTCGAGGCTTCGAGAAGTTGGAAAATAAATCAGAAATATTGGGGATTCCTGTTTCCCATGGAACAGGGGCAGAGTAAAAGTCAGTCTGCCGGGCTTGGTTGGCGAGAGTTTGCTGCCACCCACTGGCCAGACGTGTACTGCAGGGAACGGGAGTCCCAGCTCAGGCTCCAGCGGAACCTGTGGGGTAGCTGTGGACACCGCTGGCCCCAGATGTCGCTCTGGGTCCTTCTCTGCGCTTCTGAAAAACATGCCCAAAGAAGAAGGGTCTCTTCCAGACCCACGCAGCCACGCACACCCCAAGCTGGACAGCTGGCTTTTTGCAACCTGACAAAGCACCAGTTGGTCAGTGAATTTGACAAAAACAGACTGTGCACCCAGTGGAAGGTTCTGGAAATACAAAAACACATTGTCAACATCAAGGAGAGAAAACACATCTAGAAAAGGGGACTCCTATGCATAGGAGGAGGGGGCAGTTCTGCCTGCCTGGGAAGTCCAGACGCCTCCGCGGAGGCTGAGCTAGTCTTACAAAGAACAAATAGGGGTTTGCCACCTCAGGAGGAAGCTGACCGGGCCAGCCAGTGGCCTGGTGGTCAAGGCGGCTGGATCCAACAGGACCAACTGCACAGTTCAAGTCCCAGACTTGGCGGCTTGAAAAACACGCCAGGGACATGTGCGTGAGCACCCAGAATCCCAAGAGGAATGGAGGACAAAGGACTGCAGCGTGGCCATCCCTCCTGAAGAGGGCTTTCTAACTTCCTCTCCCTACCTCTGTTTCTCCAGTGAGTGCACGCTGGAGAGGGGGAGAGCACAATTGAAAGGGGAGGGCAGAGGCCCAGAGGTTTGAGCAAGCATTTAGGGGCACACAGGGGTGCGGCTCACTGTTGGCCGAGCAGTGACAGCTGAGGCTCTTAAGGTAGGGAAAAGGCACATCGCACAGGGCTTCGACTGTCAGGCCTCGTAGCTGGGACTTAATGACTAGCCTCCAAAGACGTTTTAAAACGTTAAAATCTGGAGGGCAGCAGGCAGTGTGGTGGTTATAGCGCTGGACTCCCACATGGCTGACCATGGTTTGAGTCCCAGACCTGGAGCTTGAAAATCATTCCGGTCTTTTGTGCATTCATGCCCCAAATCCCAGGAGAGCAGAAGAGAAGGGACTGCAGCATGGCCATTTTCCCTGGAGGGGGTTTTCTCACTTTCCCTCACGCTCTCTCTGTCTCTCTCTAGTGAGCACATGCCCTATGGCAAAAATTAAAAAAAAAAAAAATTAAATTGTATCCTCCATAACCGTCGGCATTTTGCCCGTCCGTTTGTCATGTATCATCACCGACTTTGCTGTTGGCACTATGGTTTGAGTGTTCGTTTTGTTTTTTAAGAGTGATTTTTGCTATAGAGCATGTACACTCACCAGAGAAATCATCCCAGGGGGGGATGGCCAGGCTGGAGTCCCTTCCCCTCCATTCTCTTGGGATTTGGGGCACACATGTACACACACTCAGTGTGAATTTTTTTTGAGATATTTTTGATATAGTGTGCATGCACTCGCAAGAGAAACAGAGACAGAAAGCAAGAAATCTCACACACACACACACACACACACCCGGGGAGATGGCCATGCTGCAATCCTTCCTCCTCCATTCTCCTCTCGGGATTTCGGGCACACACGCACACACATCCAGTGTGAATTTTAAGTTGCCAGGTCTGGGACTTGAACTGTGGTCAACTGCGTGGGAGTCCACCGATATAACCATTATGTCATCTGCTGGTGCTGGTTTGAGTATTTTTCAAATAAATCCCAAACATCAAGTCATTTCTCATGTAAATTTTCTTTATTTTTTTTTCCTTAACTGTCAGAGGGCATGTGTGCGCTCACCAGAGAGAGACAGAGAGAGGAAGAGGGAGAGAGTGCCTTCCCGTGGCACGTGGTCACAGCGCCATCCCTTTTCCTCCATTTCTCCATCCTGTCGGGAGGTGGGGCGTGGACACACGTGTGCTCAGTGTGTTTCTCAAGCCGTAGGGTCCAGATTCCAACCACGGGTGGCCATATGTGAGCCCGCTTCCTTAACCCCTAGACCGCAGAACCAGCCCTCCTGGTAAATGCTGAAGTATCATCTCTAACTTACAATTAAATGGCTTATTTGTACTTTTTTTTTTTTTGGAGAGGTTTTTGCTATAGGGTGCATGTGCTCGCCAGAAAGAGAGAGACAGAGAGACAGAAAGCGAGAAATCACCCCCGGGGGGGATGGCCACACTGCAATCCCTTCTCCTCCATTCTCCTCTTGGGATCTTGGGCACGCACGCACACGCACCCGGCGTGAATTTTAAGCCACCAGGTCCGGGACACGAAACACAGTCGGCTACACGGGAGTCCAGTGATGTAGCCATTACTGCTATGCCAACTGCTGGTCCTATTATTTGTACTTTTTATTGTGGCAAAATACACATAACAAAATTTGCTGTTTTAACCATTTTCGAGTGCACATTAAGGACATTCCTGGAGCTGTGCAACTGTCATCACTATCTATTGTCCAAACGTGTTCGTCATCCCCACAGAGACTCGGAGCCATGAGGCACTCACGCGCCCCCCCCACCCCACTCCCCACAGTCTCGGGGAACCTCTGTCTTGATGCCTTCGCTTGTTCTAGGGTGACGACTTTAATAAGCACCAGGCCATTGTTTCACCAAACCAAATGAACAATTGTTTACAAGTTTATTTCTTTTTCAGGGGAGAGAAAGGGGCTCCCTTGGCAGGTTCGTCATGCTGTGACCCCAGCCCAGCCCTGCAGCCAGTCAGGACCACTGGTGTGCTCAGGGGCACGCCCAGCGCCCAGGCAGATTTGGGACACAAAATCAGAGCCCTGTGGCCTCCAGCACGCAGGGCTGCACTGTCCCCACAGCTAGGACCACGATGATCTTTATTTATCTTTACTGAGCAAGCATTCACGTTTTCCCAACGTCCCCAGTCATATAAACATATACTCAGAGATTTCTAAGCAGAAAGGTGGATCTCAGATGTGTCTGAGATCCGAGAGGTTCTACTTGGTCTGGAACAGGGAGGAGGCGGGCGGGCATGAAGCCGGCCTCGGGATCATTCGGGAAGCCCGTGCAGTGATCAGAATTCAGCACTGTTGTTTTAAAGAGGTTTTCATCATAGGCCATGCGAGCTCACCGGAGAGAGAGAGAGAGAGAGAGACAGTGAGAAGGAAAGTAAGAAATCATCTCTCAAGGGGGGTAGCCATGCCACAATCCCTTCTCCTCCTGAAATCTTGGGCACGCACACACAGGCATCTGGAGTGATTTTCTAGCCACCGAGTCCGGGACTTGAACAGTGGTCGGTCATGTGGGAGCTCAGTGACATAACCACTATGCCATCTGCAGCACTGGAGACTTCACTGGTCTTTGGCAAGCTAGTAGCATTCCCAAGTCGATCACTTGATGGATTAGTCTCGGGAACTTAGGAGGCTGGGAAATGCCAGTGACGTTAAAAATAGGACAGAATGAAGGGACATGGATTGGATTCCTAGGTAGACATTCTCGATCAGAGGCATAAATGAAGCCTAGTGCCCTCGGGTACAGCCTCACGCCAGGACAGAGCTTGGACCTCGAAGCTGGGCTGGTTAGCGCATTCCTTTCGATACACGAAGACATGGCCGTGCGGGAGAAGGTAGGTGTGTCGGAATGAGAAACAGGGACAGGAAGACGTGAACACTTTTCTGGATAAAGGCAATGCACAGTGGCTAGCCCTCGATGTTATTAATTCGGCGATTAAGGTCTTGAATCCAGTGCTCTCTGATGGAGGCCCTGCTTAGACAGAGGGCAAGCTGTGCAGCGTCGCACCCGCGATCTGGAAGAGAGTGCATGGGGACATTGCCAAGCTTGCAGATGGCTTCCAGCGCTTCCAGGGATTAAAATGCCAAGCCGATCAGGGATAAACTCAAAGACGATGTGGACGTGGGCAGAAAAGTGGCAGAGGAGTTTTAATGTGACTAAGTGTAAGAAAACACGTTCAGGGGAAATAATCTTATCAGAGTATGAAGAGCTGGCATGCTTACTGACAAACCCATAAAGGAACCTGGAATGACAGAACATTGTTTCCTTAAGACAGTCCTGTGAGCTGTCGCGGGCAAGAAATATAAGGATTGAGAGAGGGAAAGGTGGAAAAGCGTTGTCATCAGAAACTCAACATAAAGAAATTCACTCTCTGACCGACTCTTTCTCTTTTTTTTTTTTTTTAAAGTTTTTGCCATAGAGTGCATGCACTTGCTGGAGAGAAAGAGAAAGTGTGAAGTCGCCCTGGGGGTGTGGATGGCCGCACCATGATCCCTTCTCTTCCAGTCTCCTCTAGGGATTTAGGGCACACACGTACACATACTGGCATGATTTTCAAGCCACCGGGTCTGGGACTCAAACCGAAGCAGTCAGTCATCTGGGAGTCAGCCTCGTGAGCCACCAAGCCCATTACGCTCTGATCTCCTCCTCCTCCTCCTCCTTTACTTTGCTATAGGTCACACGCGCTCACCGGATAGAGACAGAGAGAGATTGAGGGAATAAAAAATCACCACCCAGGAGGGATGACCATGCCACAATCCCTTCTCCTCCATTCTCTCAGGATTTTGGAGAATTTGCATCCAGCGTTTTCAAGCCAGCAGGTCCAGGACTTGAACCATGGAATCAGCCATGTGGAATCCAACGCTCTAACCCCCGTGCCACCTGCTGGCCCTGATGTCCCCTTTGTAAGAGTAGTACTTCCCTAAGTGTGATACAGCATCTACGGTTGGCTCACCCCTCTAAGCGCAGAGGATGCTGTGTATGCAGACATGGCCCGGAACGAGGCAGAGGCTCGGATTTTAGGAAGGCTGAAACGATGTGAAGGGAGAATTCCAAAAGCAACGCCCGGTGTGGAGGGAGAGTGAGAACACTGACTTACTCCAGCGCCTCCCATCTCGGACAACCCGATCATCCTCACAACAGTTCCTGCCTCGTACGGGCTCACGGGAGGCTCGGACTGCACCGCCTGGTTACGGTGGCAGTTAACGATGGCGGAGAGGTAACCCAGCATTCCTGATGACCAAGTTTAGACATTTTAAACTTCTTTAAATAGGGACTGTGTTCTACTTACTGTGTTCCAAATACTGGTTCTATTGTTTGACATTAGTTGACGCTCAGGAAATGGTTATATTGGTTACTTTTTTGGAGAGGTTTTTGCTATAGGGCCCAAGCGCTCAACAGAGACACAGAGAGAGACAGAAAGCGAGAAATCACCCCCCAGGGGGGATGGCCACACCGCAATCCCTTTTTCTCTATTCTCCTCTCGGGATCTTGGGCACACATGCACACGCGCCTGGCGTGAGTTTAAGCCACCAGGTCCGGGACTCGAACTGCAGTCGACTACATGGGAGTTCAGCAACATAGCCGTTATGCTAATTGCTGGTCTCAGGAAATGGTTATATTGTTATGGAATTGAAAACAGCTAGAGATTGGAGAGTCCTGGCTTGAAGACCTCTGAGGATACCCATTTAGTCCCTCCCCAGAGCCTGTGAAGTCCCCTTAGGGGATCTGTGAGAGAGCTTCAGTGGCCAAAGGAGGCAAAGGAGATCCCTTAAGGGGGAAAAAAAAAAAAAAAAAAAAAGGCCCAGAAGATGGAATAATGGTTAAATTGATGGAACCCAGATGGAATAATGGTTACATTGATGGACTCCCACATAGTAGACCGCAGTTCAAGTCCCCGACCCGCAGCTTAAAACTCATGCCAAGTGCATGTGCGTGCATGTCCAAGATCCCAATAGGAGAATGGAGGAGAAGGGATTGCAGCACAGCCATCCTCCCTAGGGGGTGATTTCTTGCTTTCTGTCTCTCTGCCTCTCTCTATCTCTCCAGCAAGCATACCCACACTATCACAAAAATTTCTCTTAAAAAAGAAAAAACAGTAATTCCCAAGCTCTGAAAATAACTAATTTCTGAGTAATCACCCCAGCTGTGACTTCAGTTGGGAACAGCAAATCACTTTTTCGGAGCAGATTTTCTGAAGATCTCTATTTTGGGGAATAATTAAATGATGCAGTATCACAAGATAACAAGATTATCAAATACAGAAAGAAAAAAAAAAGAAAGAATCCCGTGGCTCAGGAGAACACGTGATGGAAATTGGATGCACTTGTCTGTAATTATAGGGGAGCTGCGGAACAGAAGGCTCTGGAGTCAGGGGACAGATTCTCTTTCCATGACTGACTTACGAAATTAAATCAAAAGCTGATTTGATATTGGAGCAAAGTGGGTCAGTTATAAAGTTTGCGTTGGAGAAAATAACATTTCCAAAAGATGGGAATTATTCTATGCCGGGTGAGCAGGGCTCCTAGCAAGGACACGGCGCCGGGTTTCTCTCTGGTGCAGGGTCACAGATCACGCCCACGAACGTCACTACTGCCCACGGGCCGGTCCTTTGCAGGTGTCTCGATGGGAGGAAACATCCTTCATGTTCTGGCCGCACCCTTCTATTCAAACTCCCCCCCATTTCCTTTCTGCAAGTCTTCTGCAGAGTTTCCATGTCAATTAGAAAAAGGGCTCCCTGGGATCGGCAGATGGCATAATGGCTATGTCGCTGGACTCCCATGTAGTCGATTGTGGTTCGAGTCCTGGACCCGGTGGCTTAAACTCATGCTGGGCACATGTGCGTGCGTGTCCAAGATCCCGAGAGGAGAATGGAGGAGAAGGGGTTGCGGTGGCCATCCCCCCTGGGGGGTGATTTCTCGCTTTCTGTCTCTCTGCCTCTCTCTGTCTGGAGAGCGCACGCACCCTATGTGTGCTATAGCAAAAACCTCTCCAAAAATAAGTAAGAAAAAGGGCTCCCCTTTTTAGGTCCCTGCACTGGACGGGCTTCTGCACAGGCCCTTGCCTGGCGAGCAGAATGTGGGCTACATTCCAGTCCTGCTGTCCCCTGGGCCGGAGGTCCTCGTGCAGTGAACACCCTCTTCCAGCCCCCGTGCAGCGCTGGGTCCCAGCTCCCCTCGTTTAATTTTCCTTTCCATTTCTTTTATACATTCGGTCTACACATCACTACCACTTGGAAAGTGAGGTTACCCAACACGAAGACGCTTCGCGCTAGGCCCGCTCAAGAGACCATCCGCGTTATGGCCAACAGCTCAGCCTCCATTTCTGCGTCCCACGAATGTCTGGCCCCTCTCTTTTTCTCCTTGATTCCCTTCCTCTCACTCTCCCCCTCCCCCGGCCTCTTCCCACACTGTCTCCAGTATCCTTCACCATGCCATGTTCCCTGCATCTGCATACACTCGTCTATCAGCTCCCGCCGCAGAGCATGGACAGTGGTTCAACCCACTGTGAAATCACCCGCCCTGCTCTGCCTCCGCGTTGAAATCTTTCCTGCCGGCGGTCGTTGTTTCTCCGGCTGAAAGCCCAGACTGAAACGGGTGGACCTGTCACAGCAAACAGACGCAGCCTCGTACCGTGAGCACCTTTCCACGAACGTGTGTCTCCCACTCCTTTCTGTGTCAGACACCCCTGAGGGGGCCCCCGTGTCTGATGCTTCCTTCCTGCTCCCCAGGAACCCAGCCTCACACAGCTTGTTTGCTGCACACCTGTGGTATCCACTTCACGTGTTAATGTGACTGGGCCAGGAGGTTCCCAGATATTTGGCTAGACATGAATTGTGGGTGGTCTCCGTAGCTGTTTCTCATAACCCTAATGTTTGAATTATTAATAGTAAAAAGCAGGGAACCAGCAGTTGGCGTAATGGCTATGTCGCTGGACTCCCACGTAGTTGACTGCGGTTCGCAGTCTCTATGTCTCTATGTCTCTCTCTCTGTCTGTCTGGCGCATGCACGCGCCCTATAGTAAAAACCTCTCAAAAAAAAAAATAGTAAAAAGCAAAGCAGATGGCCCTTCCCAACGTGATTGGACATCATCAAATTCCTTTTTTTTTTTTTTGGAGAGGTTTTTGCTATAGGGCACGTGCGCTTGCTAGAAAAACAGAGACAGAGACAGAAAGCAAATCACCCCCCAAGGGGGATGGCCACACCACAATCCCTTCTCCTCCATTCTCCTCTTGGGATCTTGGGCACGCACGCACATGCGACCGGCGTGAGTTTAAGCCACCGGGTCTGGGACTCGAACCACGGTCAACTACATGGGTCCAGCGACATAGCCATTATGTCAACTGCTGGTCCCCATCAGATCCTTCTTTAAAAAGAATTCAGAATAATATGTGTATGCACAAGATACAGAGAGACAGACGGAGAGAATACCCTATACTGGGCTCGTAACCCCTTCCTCCAGTCCTCCAGCCCGCTGGGATCCTGGGCACACAGGTACGCACCTGGTATGCTTTCAGGCTGACTGCGGCTGGGACTTGAACCATGGGTGGCATGTGGCTTCCAGCTCCACAGTCCAGTACACTACCAGCAGCACCAGAGGCTGGGCCTCATCTAATCCTTTCAAGGCCTGAATAACAAAAACACGGAGTAAGGGAGATACCGCTCTCTCTGCCTGACTAAGTTGGGACGCTAGTCTTCTCTGACTTGTGATGTGTGTGTGTTTGTGTGTGAGTGTTTGCACACGGACACACTCAGGCTACTGTAACAAAATACCATAGACTGGCTTAAACAGACTAACCTGGGCGTAGCTCTCAGATCCTCTGCTTACTATCCGAGGGTGGGCTCTTTACTCCTTGTATGTTCATCTGCCAGATAAAGATAACACCTATTTCTTTTCCTTTTTTTTTTTTTTAAGAGAGATTTTTGCTATAGGGCGCGTGTGTTTCCCGGAGACATAGACAGAGAGAAACAGAAAGTGAGACATCACCCCCCAGGGAGGATGGCCATGCTGCAATCCCTTCTCCTCCATCTCCTCTCGGGATCTTGGGTATGTACGCACGCACATCCGACATGAGTTTCAGCTGCTGGGTACGGGACTTGAACCACGGTCACCTACGTGGGAGTCCAGTGATGTGTCCATTACACTATCTGCTGGTCCTGATAATACCTGCTTCTAAAGTGGGTTAGGATTACGTGACTCTGCCTTTAGAATAGTCCTCAAACATGGCAAGCTTACCAGTCTCTTTTGGACTTTGGAACTAGCTGCTGGTCACATCCTACCCTAGATCTAGGCATGGCCCTTTTTTGTTTTGTTTTTGTTGTTGTTTTGTTTTGTTTTTTTCCCCTGCATTGAGTCTTGCTGTGTCCCTGTCCTCTTGCCTCAGCCTCCCAAGTAACTGGGGCTCCAGGCAGGCACCACTGGGCTGGGCCTGGCTTTTTAGAGTGGACCAGGAGTCCAACGCAGGCTCCCACTGGCCTCAGCCTGCAGGAGGAGCATGTCCCAGCAGACACCGCTGCAGCTGGGCCTCCTGCGGCCCATGGCTATCCGGGTCTCAGCTCAGCCCCCTCCCCTGGTTGGTATTTCCCAACTGGCTGAACTAAGACGGTCCCTCCATCTTGTTGGTCTCTGTCATCTTCAGGAACATGACCTCTATTTCAACATTTTCTTGACTCTTGGTTCTTATTTTCAACTCCCCAAGCGAAATGGAAGTTCCCTGAGAGGACAGCCCTCGCTGGTGAGGAGCCGCAGTATCGATCCCACACCAGCTCTGCCATGACGCCGGGCGCAGGGGTGGGTGCACTCGCGTCTGCTCACGAATGACTGAGCATGCAGAGCGTCCAGCACACCACAGCCACGCGCGGTTGGTCCCTTTCTTGCCCCTTTTGATGGGAAATCCACAGGGTTAAACAATGTCTCTGTGTGAGTCTTCTACTGTGGAGAGCCCATCAACAAAGCGAATCTGCCGTCTCAATGCTGACCAGGCATTTATAAATACAGGCAAAAAAACAGTCCCATACTCCGCTGGGTGAGGGGTCGCCCTCCCCTACTGCTCTGGTCGCCCTCCCCTACTGCTCTGTTTCAGATACAAACTGACACAGCAGTTACCGGGGCATTTGTGTATTTCGTTCTCGTCCTCCTATGAGAAATTAACGACATGGCCTCCCCTTGGCCCTCGGAGAGGGTAAGTGTCCCTTAGAGGGCTTTTACTAGTTTACTTACGAGGAAACAGAA